AAAAAATTTATTTTTATTTTTTGGCCCTTGACACTAAAAAGGTTGCCGACCCCTGGTTTAGGGTATGCAAGATGTATACCTATAGTATGGCTATAATATTACACGTTCATAGGCGTGCGCACGGGGTATGCTGGGTATGCCGCTGCATAGTCTGCGGCTTCATGTGAGGAGCCCAGTGGGCGTAGCCAAGGGGGGGGGGGCTAAGGGGACTATAGCCCCCCCCCATGGGCCGTGTTTATATGTATAATGTATCTTGACTATTTAATAGAATCAATGGATGCTCGTTTTAATCAAAGGCTTATTGATGTTATGCCACTTGAAGGACTTATTCCGGCCAATTTAAATATGTATGACGATAAAAATATTATAAAAACTGCTAAAATATATGTCCAAGATCTCCATGATGATACCTCATCTACAATCAGAGCTAACCTGTTTATATGGAGGCAACAATGGAGTCAAAATACTATTCCAAAACCGAATTCTGCTCTTGATTCACTCTCTCATCACACCAATCTTCGACCTAACATTAAAATACTTTTACAATTATTCGCCACGTTACCAGTTACCTCTTTCACTCCGGAAAAAACGTTTTCAGCACTTAATCGCTTAAAAATTTTTTTAAGAAGCACCATGTCGGAAAACAGACTGAATGGGTTAGCTATGGCTAATATAAATAAAAAAGAGCAATTCGATGAAAGTGAAATAATAACTGATTTGTCAGAAATTCGCCTAAGAAGATGCAGCTGTCAGAGTGGAGCAAGTGACTGAACACTGAAACTAAAATTATTATTATTATTATTATTATTATTATAAATTATATATTAATAAATATTTTTAAAAGTATACTAAAATGCTTGAATTACGTTTAGAAACTTGGTGGTAGATGGTGAGGGGGGGGGGTAATGCTGAATTCTCATATCCTCTCTTACCTTACTTATCCAAAAAAGTAGTTAGCCCCCCCCCCCATTTAAAAATCCTGGCTACACCACTGGAGGGGCCCATATTTATTATTAAGTTAAGAAACTTTAAATTTAATTACCGCCACAGGAAATTTAAATCAATTAAAGCTTAATAGTAATGATATTTCAATATTGAAGGAAAAATTTAATTTGAATACTACATTTGAGTATGAAATTAAACTCATTACAAATATGTCTGATAGAACTTCTATTAGAGGGTTATCAACTAAAAAAATTGTAGTATGGCTGAATTAATTATCAGAAAACGACCGGAAAACAATATTTTCAAACTTCAATAAAGCTTTAACACAATTTGCAACAATACCTGTGACAAGCTGCTCGTGTGAGAGGGATTTTTCTAAATTGTCTATTGTAAAGTCTAAACTTAGAAACACTATGTTACAAGAACGTCTTGATTCACTGATGTTAATATTTATCGAGCAAAAGATGGCATCAGAAATCAATATTGAAGATGTAATAGATGAATTCAAAGCATGGGTTCCGATAAAAAGAAGTCTTGAACTTTAGATTTTAAGTACTCTCCATAAAATAACAACATTATAAATATGTTAAAATTATTAAAAAGCATTCAATATAGTACATACTTGATCTTAAATAAATAATAAATTTTTTTTTAATAAATATAAATCAAATTTCAAACTACTTATTTCTACAGTGCATTGTTTAATATTCTACTGTAAAATTATGTGTAATTTTAGATTTTAAGGGAAGTAAAGAAGCTACGTAGTATATATGCAAAAACTTAGATTGTGACTTGAATCTTATATGCGTTAAAAGAAAATGCAAATAAATTAAGGGAAGATTAGAAAATTTATTTGTAAGGGGCCCTATATTTCTTATTGCATAACCTGCGAATAAAGTCTGCGCACGCCTATGTACACGTTTGTTTCGCATTATTTCGCCCAATCTTTCAAAATATTTTCGACAGAGTATAATCACTGGGCGACATTTGTGTCGCCTAGTTAACTAATTAAAAAATACACTGCGCCTATGATACACACATGGTAATCACTGCGATCGCATTCAACAACATTTATAAAATTATTATTTTGATTGTTTGAAAATCAACATTTTAGTATTTTAAATACTAAATATTAAATTATTTAATAAATTATTAAAAGATAGGTATATTATAATATTACAATCAGAACTAACTTTTTTTTTTTTTTTTCATAAATAATAGTAGGGGGTTACAAGCCACCACTGCCAAAGGATCTATCAAAGAAAATTTTAATGAAATTATTGGAGTATTTAAAGTTCATCTTGAGTCCCTGAAGTCCTTGAAACTATCAAACATATGTACCGAAGTTGTAAGCAGTACTCGACTTGGCAAAATTAAAGAAGGGGGACTCAATTTACTTAAAAAAAAAAAGTTCCCAAAACTGGATGAGCGTTATGATTATAGCGTTATAATAGTTAGGGAGACGCTAAAATTTCTGAAAATTAGTTGGAGTACTCCGTCCCCCTGCGTTCCCCCCTCAAGTCGAGCACTGGTTGTAAGTATTTATAACTTAGTACCTTATTATGGATTGTCAGACATTTTCTTCAGTAGGATTTTATAGTTCAGATGTATCTATTACTACAAAATAATAGTCTGCATAAATTATTATTTAAACAATAATAGTAAAAAAAAAAATTTAAAAATTCGAATTTAGTTTTAATATTTTGGAAAATATTTATTATACCTATTAAACATTTTCAGGCCCAATTGGCCTAGCGAACTATCGCGCTAAGCGCGGTGAGCCACAAGATTATTATGATACATGGGCCGCTTACCAGTGGCGCAACTAGAGCTAAATATTTGGGGGGCTGTAGCCCCACCTGATATTACATGAAATGTAACCCATGGGGGCATTGTCCCCACACCCCCATATATATTCATTTAAAAATATAAAACATACAAACAAAAAAAAAAAAAAAAACAAATATTTATTTACTCAATTTTCATGTTTCTTTTATTTTTGTTAATAAATAGTTTTAATATTTCATCGATTTTAATTTCAATATCTTTTTCAATATGAAGTACTGATAGATTACTGAACTAATCTTGGTTCATTGTGGAACGTAAATATGTGTTTATCCACAATAATAATATAATGTCTGTATATTATAGGTTCAGTACATACTGAAAAATATACTGTAAAATGTTATGTATAACAATTAACAATCGTACCAATGTATTGATAAACATCGTTTCAAACAAATATAGGCAAATTATATTTATTATTTACCATATTTTATCATAGGCAATATAAAATAATTATACAATTTTGAAAAAATTTAATTTATTAATGTTTTTCTAAAAACAATACAGTTACGAACAGATATGTTTATTTGTCGAAATAAATTCTCCCAAAGTAAATAAAATAATTGAGATAGAATACATTTTTTTTAATTTTAGTGTACTTAGCAATTTTGTATATGAAGTTCAACGAAGTGTTTTTGTTGGGTTTAATCACAAACCATTTACTTATAAAATGGCCTTGTCTATACCTAACATTTAGCCGCGTACACACGAGCGCGCCGAACCTGTAATGCAACGTTGCACGCGCGGCGCGCTCGTTCGTATGAACAGTATTTGAAACACGCGCGCGATGTTACTGCAACCGCGCGGAGAGAACCAATTTTTTTCGGTTTTTCAAACGAACATATAGGAAATGTTCGGCGCAGTGTGTACGTGTTTATATTGTTTTTATCATCGTTGAAACGCGCATACCGCTTTGACAACGTGATTTGACACTAGTACATTGTCGTAACTCGTAACTTACTTATTACTAATACTCGTATTTGTATACTATTGCCCACTGATTTCTTGAAATTTTAAATCCATTAAAAGTTCATTTCCACAACGTTTTTTAAATAACTCAGTGTGCCACCATCTTCGTTTACGACCCCTTTTTTTTGGTACAGCACTTCCCAAAACAACTATTGCTGCACTACAAACTAGTAAAGCTTCTTCAGCCTCCATTATTTATATTAAAATAATTAAATTTAAAATTACTTAATTAAAACGACTATGGTCAGCACGGTACGACTCCGAACGTCTGAACTATGCATGAAAATGTTCGCGGCAAACTGCGCTCGTTGGCAGCGGATCGTTGGCGCAGCGCGTGTTTGTTGTGAATTAAAAATTACTTCGCGCCGCGCGTGGAACGCGCATGCAACGTTGCATTACAGGTTCAGCGCTCGTGTGTACGCGGCTTTACGCATCGTGAGCCGTGATAAAGGGCGCAATTAGTGACCGATGCACGCACGTAATTTTTGCGTGCGAGCGACAACGCACGCCTGTTACAATAATAATAATTATTGTAACACAATTGTGTTCATTGCAGTTTGTGATAATCATTAATCACTATTATTTAAACCAGTGATGGGCAAAGTACGGCCCGCGGGCCAACTCCGGCCCGCGAAAGTATTTAATCCGGCCCGCCGAGGGTCCACCGACATGAATAATAATGGCCCCCAAATTAGGGTCGCAGAGGCTTTCCAGCATTTCTTATAATTTATATATTTTATTTTTTTACATTATAATTTTAATTTAGGAAAAAAATTCCCGAAATATACTGAAAATAGTTTTAAATATATAAATGGATTGGCGCGGACTGTGTGTGGTCATACCCTCACAGCGTGGTGTAGGTAGATAGTGGGTACTATGATAATCGGTATATAATTTCTATTTTTGTTCATATTAATATATTTCCCAGATTTCAGTTTGGTGCGTCTTTATCGTAGTTTTCGTATAATAATATGTATGATGTACTTAAGTATATAAATAAATTGATATAATTTTATTGTGTAATGCTATCAGTCTTTGCACTGTCGTCATACCTAATCGTTATTCCTTATATTATATTTACGTATAATACATATAGTGAACTCAGTCGTCACTTGTCAGGTATCACTGAGCGAGCCACACGTTTTACATTAATTTTGTTTTAATTTTGTCTCTTGTTCTTGCTTGTTTGCGTTACGCTTTATATTCATAATCGTTTAAAAGAAAATCTGTATGTTGGGATAATGGCGTATAAAAAACGAAAAGTCGATTCCGAGTGTCGTCTATTTAAAGAAGAGTGGGCTTGGAAATACTTTTTTACGGAATACAACTGTAAGCCAGTATGTCTTATTTGTAATGAAGCAGTGGTGGTGTTTAAATATTTTAACCTTGCTCGTCATTTCAACACCAAACATTCAAAAACCAAATATGCTGTGATGAATGACGCAGAAAAAAAGGTAAATGCGGAAAACCTAAAAAAAACAATATCTGTTCAACGGAATGTGTTTATAAAGCAAAACACTACTCAAAAGGCTTCTACGCTGGCTGGATATGTTGTGGCTTATAAAATAGCTAAAAATAACAAACCATACTCGGAAGAAGAATTTGTAAAAGATTGTAAAGTGAGTATGAGTAAGATTTTATGTCCAGAAAAAATTAAAGAGTTTTGAGTCTGTCAGTTTATCGCGAAAAACAGTAACAACGCGAATTGATGCTGTTGCATCAAACTTGTCGACTCAATTTAGGCAGAGTTTAGAAAACTTTAAATATTTTTCCGTGACGATGGATGAAAGTATGGATAGAAGTGACACTGCTCAATTAAAAATCTTCATTAGAGACGTTGATAACGAATTTAATATTACTGAAGAGCTAGCTTATTTGCAATCATTAAAAGGAAAAACGACGGAGCAAATAATTTATAACGAATTTTCTGAAGGTCTTAAAAATTTGAAAGCGCCTACTTCAAAATTATGCAATATAACTACAGATGGAGCCCCAAATATGGTTGGAAAAAACGCTGGATTTTCAGGTATTTTTCGGATCTAGAATCCTAATCATGATGTTGTATTTTTACATTGTATAATTCATTAGGACGTCCTTTGTAAAGCTGCAATAGATATTACCCATGTACTTAATGTGGTTTCAAAACTAATTAATACGATTCGATCTCGGGGATTGGTACACCGACAATTCCAAGAATTTATGATTGAAGTCGACGCAGATTATTCCGACCTTCTTTACCACACGAAAGTAAGATGGTTAAGTTGTGGATATGCATTTGAACGGGTTTGGAATTTAAAAGAGGAAATACAAGATTTCTTAAAGAATAAAACAGACAAATGGTCTGATTTCCAAATTTTCGAAGACAAAGATTGGCGTACGGATTTTGCATTTTTTACCGATTTACTCGAACACTATAACAAATTAAATAAAAAATTGCAAAGAAAGAACCAATTTATAGATGAGACTTGGGGTTGTCTGAAATCATTTAAAACTCAGCTTTTTCTGTTTTATAACTGCATAGCGAAGAACGATTAAACTCACTTTCTGCGTTTAAAATCCATGTCACCAGTAAGTGAGAACAAGCTGAAAGAATTCAGTCGGGCGTTGAAAAAACTTCACAGAATTTCAAACTAGGTTTCAAGATTTCAAGAACATTCAATCATCGCTAGATGTTTTCTCGATGCCGTTTAATGTAGATCCGGAAAATGTATCTGCAGAAATGCAGTTGGAAATTATTGAAATGCAGTGCAGTACTCATTTAAAGCAATTGTTCTTGAATTCCACAAAACTATATATTTATAGAGTAGTGCAGAAAGCCAAATTTCCAAAAATAATTGCTTACGCCCAGAAAATTTTAGCGATGTTTGCGTCGTCTTATGTGTGCGAACAAACTTTTTCGACCATGAAATTGCGGAAAAACTCAATCAGAAACCGATTGACTAATAAACACCTTTTCGCACTGCTGAAAGTTGCTTCATCACAGCTGGAACCTGCTTTCGAAAATATTATAGAAAATCAAAAACAATTCCATATTTCTCACACGCCTACCATGGTTGAGCTTTGGAATAAAAGTTAAATTAATTATTATTTAAGGTAAAAGGTAATTTGTAACATTTGTCTGTAATTCTGTAATGTTTATATAATATTATGATTCAAAGCTGATTCAAAATGCATTTTTTCTATAATTCTGGCCCTCCTTTAGAATTTCTTAAACCTTGTGGCCCCCCCATTAAAAAAGTTCACCCACCAGTGATTTAAACGGTCACAATATCATATTCATTTTAATAACAATAACAATGTGTTCATGTAAATTTTAAAACAATACCTACATTTACCGTATTACAGAATTTTGAATAGATTATTTCTGTAGACATTTAGATCATTAAAAAGTATTATTCAATAGTCATATTATATATGATTATAATCTTAAGTTCTGTTGTTATTTTTGTTATTTTTTTAATCATATTCCTACACTATCTACTAATGTTTTATTATTTACTTGTGCAATTTTATTGGTGAATAGTTGTCATTATATCCTCGTTTACAAAATGGAAGTAAGCAGTAGCGTAGCCAGGATTTTTAAATGGGAGGGGCTAATCACTTTTTTGGATAAGTAAGGTAAGAGAGGATATGAGAATTCACCCTTAACCCCCCCCCCCATCTACCACCAAGTTTTTAAATGTAATTCAAGCACTTTAATATAGTTTTAAAAATATTTAATAATATATAATACATAATTTATAATAATAATAGTAATAATTTTAGTTTCAGTGTTCAATCACTTGCTCCACTCTGACAGCTGAATTCTCTTAGACGAATTTCTGGCAAATTCAGTTATTATTTCACTTTCAACGAATTACTCTTTTTTTATTTATATTAGCCATAGCTAATCCATTCAGTCTGTTTTCCGATATGGTGCTTCTTAAATAATTTTTAAGCGATTAAGTGCTGAAAACGTTTTTTCCGGAGTGAAAGAGGTAACTAGTAACGTGGCGAAAAATTGTAAAAGTATTTTAATTTCAAGTTGAAGATTGGTGCAATGAGAGAGTGTATCAACAGCAGAATTCGGTTTTGGAATAGTATTTTGACTCCATTGTTGCCTCCGTATAAACAGCTCAGCTCTGATTGTAGATGAGGTATCAACTTGGAGATCTTGGGCATGTATCTTAGCAGATTTTATGATATTTTTATCGTCATACATATTTAAATTGGCGGGAATAAGTCCTTCAAGTGGCATAACATCAATAAGCCTTTAATTAAAACGAGCATCCATTGATTCTATTAAATAGTCAAGATATATTATACATATAAACACGGCCCATGGGGGGGCTATAGCCCCCTTAGCCCCCCCCCTTGGCTACGCCCACTGGGCCCCTCACATGAAGCCGCAGACTATGCAGCGGCATACCCTGCATACCCTGTGCGCACGCCTATGAACGTGTAATATTATAGCCGTACTATGGAATTTCATTGACTATTTTGAGAAAAACATTTTTTGTCGCCCAGTGAAAATTCCTTTTAAAATGCACTGCATAGGCGTGCGCAGGGGGTATACACCTTGCATACCCTAAACCAGGGGTCGGCAACCTTTTTGGTATCAAGGGCCAAAAAATAAAAATAAATTTTTTCACGGGCCATAATTTGAATACACCTTATTTTATTTAAACGAAATATTGTAGTAATTTAAAATGTAATTTATTTAAGTACATCACTGATTGGTACATTAATTATCGAGGTATCTACAAACAAAGTTATAATAATAATTATATGTAATAATAATAATAAAAGGAAGTCAAGAAAAGGAATAAAAGTAGAACATTTAAAATATATTTCTGAATTTTCAGATATAAAGTTTTCTCTCTGAGTTTGCCTTTAACATACTCGTGGCATTTTTATTTCAATATCAACACTTTTTTCCCATGTTGACAACTTCATTCAATATTTGATAGTGACTTGCTACAACCTTGCATGATAATCATCAAATAGATAGTGATAATCATGGTAGAAATTAGTATTAGTAATCTGTAATTTCTACGCCAAAGACAAACCTGTTATTCGTTAATCGTCAAAATTTAGTTAGTACCTAAGGTTTAAAATACTTAAATAATAATAGTAGTATCAGTGACGTAACTTCAAAATTTGGGCCCGGGAGCGAAATTTTCAACGGGCCCTCCCATTGTCCAGGCATATATATTAAGAAACCCGAGGGAGTTTATTCATCTTACTAAAATTACTAAACAAAAATTTTTTAAATATTTTTGCATATTATTTTATTAAATACACATTTTATCATTTTATAATCATTTAATTAATAATGAATATTTATTATTAATTTAATACTTCAAATTATGTACATACAAAAAAAATTAGTAAACAGTTGTAACAAATAACAATTAAAATAAATATAAAACTCAAAACTTAAAACATTTTTCTGGACTTCTTGTTTGCCAAAGTAGAAATAATATCTGACGTATTAATTTCTTTTGCAATTTTCTTTTTTATTGATATTATAGCTAAACTTGACAAACGAATTTGAGACATCGTGCTTCGAAGATAGTTTTTAATTATTTTGAGTTTTGAAAAACTTCTTTCTGCGCTTGCCACCGTCACTGGTATTGTCAAAAAAAGAAAACAAGCTGTACATGAATCTGGAAAACTTACCGCTATTAAATAATTGTCTACAATTATAAATGTTGCCAAGTCATGTACAGCATTTAATTTTGAAATTTGATTTTCAAACGTACGTTTAAATTAAATAATTTGGTTGGCCAAATCTATTGTTAAATCATTTTCATAATTTTTTACTAAAGAGGTAGTTGAATGTTTAAGTTTATTTTCATTCATTGAACATATATTAATTGGTATTATTGAACATTTTATTACTTGGTTCATACCATTAAAACGGTGTTCGAGTTGTTTGATAATTATGTCCAGAGTACGATAGTAAATTTGTATTTTAAAATATTGTTCAGCATCAAGGAGACGTTCATCGTTACTTAATTCATCAAAATATTTAGTTGTTTTCTTTTTCTTATTTTAGTGAACGTTGGCTCAACTCCCCTCGAAATTGCTAGGTTAAATTCCTTTTTGTTTAGCTTCCTTGAACACTTCTTCAAATTTATAACGCATTCCTTTTATTTTATTTAAGACTGTTTGAAGCAGTTCAAAAGCATTAAGTAAGTCTATATCCGATTTTTGTAGCAATAGTGATACAATTTGTAATGAGTTAAGAATTTTGGTTTCGATGAAAATTATTAAAATTACATTAAACTTTCGAAGACCTGACGCTTTATTCTTTTCATCTTTATTTCTACCCATAAGTGAAATATATGCTAAAAGTTTTAAAATATCTATGTTAAGCAAACTAAGCGCTTTTAAACAATCATTTCGTGAAGACCATCGAGTTGTACATAGTCTTTTGAGTGAAACAGACACAGAACTCACTGATTTTAAGTGTGCCCACCTTTTAGTACTATTTGCAAAATATGAATAAAGGCATTCAAGATTTTCGTAAAAATTTTGAATTTCATTAATATTTTTTACCGAGTCATTAATTACAAGATTTAAATTGTGAGCGGCGCAATGTACGTATAATGCAAGTGGCTGAATGTGTTTAATACGTGCTTGTAATCCACTATAAACACCATTCATGTTAGCAGTTCCATCAAATCCAATCCCTCTTAACTTTTTAATATCAATTTTATTTTTTTCAAAATTATTGTATAGTTGCTGTTCCATTTCACTACTCGTTTGGCCCTCCATAATTTCAAACCCAATGAAACTTTCATATATAACTATGTCAACTAGTTTATTTTCTTTATCATACATCACATTTACATAACGAAATATATGGCTTTGTTGATCGATTTTGGATATGTCTTGTGTTGAGTCTGAAATATAGCTGAAAAACGGAGGTTTTCTTATTTCTAGTAAAATATCAAATTTAACTTTATCTCCTAGTGCTGTAATTATTTCATTCTGAATTGCCGGACTTAAATATTTTGTGGTTCCTTTAGGTCTTTGGAGTAATTCTGTAAGTACCGGATCGTATTTACCTAACAATTCGATTATCGTTAAAAATTTATCTTTGCTTTCTGTCTTATTATTTTCTCTGTGGCCACGGAATGGAATATCTTCAGTTGCGAGTGTCAACGTTGTAGTTATAATTCTATCCAATATCAGTTTCCAATAATTTGCTTCATCTCTGATTTGCTTTTCTTAATTTTCGTTGATTGTGTTATGATTTTTAAATGAATAAATAGCCATGCATGCTATTTTATGAGGTATAGATTTTTTATGTCTTTCAATTCCTCGTGATGGATGTATGGGCCCAATCGTTAAATCCTCGTATCCATTCTTGGTGCTTAATATTATTGTCTCCAAAAAGCCAACAAGGTTGGCAGTAACATTTTTGGAGCTCCAGTGAATAACAAAGCCACGATCGTGAAATACGCAGTCCAGCTTTTGATACGGTGAAATAAAATTATTCGTCAAAACATCATCCACCCGCGTTACGACTGAAAGGATCACTTGGTCTGCAAGGACCATGTTCAACAATAAATTGTTTGTCTTCTACACTCAGATGTCTCAGAACTGAATTTTGTATATAATTAGCTAATCAGAAGGATACTGTTTTGTGCAAATGATCTCCATATTTTTACTTAACAATAAATCACAATCATCAGTATTGTTAATATTTTGACAAATATCGGTAACGTTATTTTTTTTTGGAGTTTTCATGTAATATTTCAAAAACAGATTTAGTTATGGTAGGATTTTCCAAAGTAGATTCAACTGTTTTTTTGAAATAACTGTCTAATTTGGGCAGTTTACCATTTTTAAATTTTTATTCTATTATTTTTTTGCGCTTTTGTGCTCCACTCATAGGTTTACTCATTTTAAAATACGAATTTTAAAAAAATTATACACTTGAATAACAAATATTCAATTAAAATTGAATACGGCTGCATGAAAATAAAATCGAAATATATGCGATTGTCACCAACTGACCGATCGACTACTACAAACTTTACGAACAAGCTAACAAATAAAGATTTCAAATAACATCAAAACGATAACGTAATCGTAATGATTAATGACAGACGGTCGATTGATAGCCGGTTTATTAATAAATATATGTTAGAAATAAAACCCAACGTTTAACAGTAATGATAAAACTTTAAACCTCATATTGTTTTTTCTGTAGTATCATACTCATGAAAATTACGTAATACGTTGATACAATAATATTCATATATAAAAATAATGATAATGTATAACAATTTTGAATTATTAAAAAAAAAAATGATTTTTTTAATAGTATATTATAATAGAAAAATATAGGTAGTTTTAAATTTTTATTAATAATTAATAGAAAAAAAAATTTTTTTTCTTTGGGCCCCTATACGAACGGGCCCGGATGCGACCGCACCCTCTGATTCCTCTTAGTTACACCACTGAGTAGAATACTAGTTTAGTACATAGATACACTATACATATAAAGACGGCTCATGGGGGAGCTATAGCCCCCTTAGCCCCCCCCCCTTGGCTACGCTACTGGAAATAGGCACTTGTAAACCATATTGAAAAATTATTAAAATAATATTATACTTATTATAGAATACAAATATAAATCGCTAAAAATTCAAAACCAGAAATAGTCGGAAAATCAAATAACAGCTGATGTCTTTTATGGTAAACACAATAATTTTTATATCGTGTGTCAATTATCATAACGCTGCCAGCGCCCTCTATCACGGTTTAAATTTTAATTCACAGGGCCGGTCCATGAGTATAAGGTCTATGGGTTACTTTTTAGAAAAAAATGTGTGAGACAATGTGTGCTTTTATGAAAGTCTTATCTCAGAATTTTAGTCTTATCATAATAACATAATATTTGGAAGATAAAAATATAAATTATTTTGAAAATACTATTTCTATACAAGGTTAAAGTTTTAAAATTAATTATAATATTTATAATAAATTAATATATGCTGTTATCAATTCCTATTCGATTTTTGTCAAATACCAGTGTTATGCCGGATAAATTGTTTTCGTGCATTTATTTGTTATTACTAATTTATTAGACAGTGAAAATAAGCGGATTTAACTACTATTTATTAGTTTATTATTTTTTGTTACAATGCGTCTTATACTTAAAAGATTTAATAATTACGGTTTACGTTGTTTTAAGTCCACAGTACAATATTCTACTCAAACACACTTTGGTTTTCAAACAGTTGATGAAGCAGAGAAATCTAAAAAAGGTATTTAAAAAATCTTTTCTTAATGTGTTAATTCTAACAACATTTAGGAACAATCATGAGAAACCATAAAATATTACGTAATAAATGGAAAAAGATTCGTCGTAAACGTCTGAGACAAAAAAAAGCTTCAGAACGAGAAGAATTATATGTAAAACAAGAACAAAATCTTTTAAACTCTCCAACTTATCAAAAGTGGTTGAAAAGCCATGAAGAAATCGAAGAATTTGAACAAAAAGAAAATGAACGTAATGCTTTGGTGCTATACAATGAATGGATTGAACGAGAATATGCAGCTACAAGAGAATGGGAACTCCTACAAAATAAGTTGAATAAAATTAAGCAAGATAAAGCTCGAAAAGATTTATTAATAAAATTAGAGTGGGAAAAAGAACAAAAAAAAATTAAAGAAATTGAAGAAAATAAGAAAAAGGAAATGCAACTTCAGGAAGAAATAAATGCTAAATTTATTGAAAAAATAGAAATGTACATTAATGGTATTGGTCCTTTACCCGAATCTTTAAATGTTAGTACAAATACAAGACCAGATCAACCACTATGTCCTTTTTTTTCCAAAGTTGCTGCTTGTCGCTTTCGTGATAACTGTTCAAGAAATCATGTTCGACCTGGCATAAGTAACACATTGTTAATTCCAGGTTTTTATAAAAATTTTGAATTGAATATGCGATATGAACGTGAATTTGACATTGATATTAGTCTAGAATGTGATGAAAAAGAAGCATATGAAAAATTTTATGATTTTTTTGAAGATATATTAGTTGAGCTTAAAAACTATGGACAGATAATTGAACTTAATGTTTGTAGAAATCAAGAAATACATTTATTGGGAAATGTTTATGTTCAATATAGAAGTAGACGACATTCTTTGAAAGCATATCGTAACTTGTGTGGTCGCTATTATGGCGGACGTAAAATAACAGCAGAATTCTGTAACATTCCTTCATGGTCAGAAGCAGTATGTGGGTTATATTTTAAAAATATGTGTCCAAAGGGGAAAAATTGTAATTATTTACATTTATATAAAAATCCAGGAGGCAGGTATCAATCAAAACCACAAAGAAATCGTAATGATTCAAGTCAATGTTATAGAGAAAATAAGAATTTTTGTAAATTGAAACAAGAACATGAAGAAAATTCTGAAATAAATAACAAAAGAAACAGTTCAAAAAGAGAGAAGAGGTTGAAGAATGAAAAATCAAGTACACTTAAATGGGATAACACTCCTGACCGAAAAAACAAAAATTCTGTATCATATAACTGGTCTAGTGATGATGATTAAGAAATATTATAATTGTTAAACTTAAATTTGCTAGAATCATCTTGTATAATAGTCTTGTTTAAAATATTTAGATAATGTTAAAATAAAAAATGTATAACACTTATTACACGTCCTATTAAAAAAATATGTGTTTATACTGATAAATAAAATACTTTACCTAATGTTGTAAATTATATGCTAATGCTATATTTTAACCGTATACATTGATACTTTTTTTTTAATAATAAGGCTGATATAGTGAACTATCAATAATTTTTTCACATGTAAAAACTTTCAATTATTGTATTAAATTGTATTTACTTATTTTATATAATAATGTTACTTTATGTACTTAATTGTTTTTAAAACAAAAATGCACTTAGCAGCAGGTAATTAATAATCAGAATTTCCGATAATCTTAAGAATATGTCAATTCAGTGCAACATTCTAATTCTGAAAACAATATTGCTACAATAGAATAAAAATAATTAGAATTTATATTAATTAACAATCTAATAAAAACATTATAATATATCTGATGATTATTGTTATAAAAATTCTAAACATTTATTCATGCCTAATGATCTTATACTACCATGCTGATTAAATTATTTTAATTGACAATTTTTATTTTCAAAACAAAAACTTAATAAGTTTTAAAATAGTGAAATAAAATCAAGTAATAATATAATAAAAAAAAATTAATAATTGATGTAGGTATCATACTATTTCTTTAATTTATTACAATTATGTATTCATAATGGTACAACCATAAAAAATATACCTTCTGTCTTATTATAATTAAAGTTATTCAAAAATAGTAGTTTCTAAAGCATACTAAATTACTGTGTATTTATTATAAATAAATAATAAAAAAATTTATATTTATATGGTTGATTGAAAAATAAATGGGATTTTTAGTGCATCAAGTATTTAAAAGTGTTGCGGATTCTTATGATGTTATGAATGATATAATGAGCTGTGGAATACACAGATTATGGAAAGATCAATTTATGAGAACATTGGATCCCAGTCCACACACTAAATTATTGGATGTTGCTGGTGGAACAGGTACTTTTTTGTATTTACATTATGATAAGTTAATTTTATTGTTTAGTAGGTTAGGTAATTGAACTCAAAACCATCATCAACTTTTATACTATACTATACATAATGCAATTTTACATACTAATATATTGGATATTAGGTATTTAATTTGCTATTAAATTTTTTAATTAAACATAATGAATTTAATAACACAGTTTTATTAAGTACCTACATTTAATATCAATATAAATAAATTATTAAAATTCTCATTTGTAGTATTATTGTAGATGTGCAGATTTATACACTAGTTTCAAACTAAAACTTGAATGCTTGTTGAATCAACACATTTATTTATTTAATACATTTTGGTTTTTTTTTTGTAGGAGATGTTGCTTTTAGGTATTTAAATTATATATCAGATATGAAAGGAGAGGGACATGTGACAATTGCTGACATAAATAGTTCAATGTTGGAAGAAGGAAAAAAAAGAGCATTCAATTTGAAATTAAGTCAAAATAATATTTCATGGGTAGAATGTGATGCAGAGCATTTACCAATGGAACCAGATTCATATTCAGCCTATACTATTGCATTTGGAATTAGAAATGTCACACACATTGATAAAGCTTTAGATGAAGCTTATAGAGTACTCGAACCAGGAGGTAGATTCCTTTGCTTAGAATTTAGTCAAGTTAATCCAGAAGCTTTAAGATGGTAATAATAAAAAAATTAATAAAATTAATATTAATTCATTAATTAAAATTAATTAC